ATTATTAGCATTGTTTATAAAAAGATAAAGTTTAATAAATTTATTATCTTTTTTTTTAAAGAAAATTTAGCATTAAATTTTAACTTCAAATTTTTTTTATAAAACTTATTTTAAAATAATCTAAAATTAAAAGAATTTAATTGTCTAGAATGAAGCGTAGGACTTTATACTTTTAGAAATTAGTGTGAAAATCTGATCGTTACATGAAATTTCCTCTTGTCATTTCCTCTTGTCACGCTGTGTGTACGATAAGAATCAAAGATCAAAATAAATAAAATTTAGCCGCACAATTATGTCTTATGTGATAAATAAAAACAGTCATACAAAGATATATAGATCATCTCTTTTTGTTTCATTTTTTTTGTTTCATTTTTTTATTCTGTTTTTTTTTACCACAATTTTAAAATTATAATAATGTTATATTATATAGAGTTTTATTTTATTGTAAAGACTAGAGTTTATATATAATAAAATCAAAGCTTTATTTAATCAAAATTTTATTTTATTTTAAAAGCAAAGTTTTATTATTTGTATATTGCATTGTAACTAATTCAATCTTCAGGAACCATAGAAATCAAGCGGTTTTCTTCTTTTTTTCTCTCACTTAATCTTTTGCATTCTTTGATATCCTTTAGTCTCTCAAAATTAAAGGGTTTGAAGAGGATGTCTCCAAGTTCACAGACCTGAGATACTGCAATAAACAAAAGACTGGCTGTAAATTCTTTGTCATCAAGATCTATTACAGCTTTTTATAATGTGAGTCCTTGACTTTTGTGTACTGTAATGGCCTACGCAAGACAAAGAAAAAATTGTAGACGTGAACATAATGTTCTGAATTTACCCTTTCAGATATGTCGAATATGTGCAATGGGAACAACTTTTGTGCTCTCTAAGCTGATAATAGTAGGACCTTTGTAATTGTAAAAGAAACGAAAACTGCTACAGGAAGAGAAGGTAGCTCCTGGTCTTTTCCAAATAGAATATCCTAAACAGTTCCCATTGCACTATTGACTAATCCAGCTTCTGTCCACAAGTTTGAAGTTAGCATAACATGCGCACTTCTTGCTAACAACAATTTTGCTTCAAGACTATGTGCAATGTCAGAGTTAGCTTTTTTTGCTTCATTGCTATCTGTATGTATTGCAAGAATTTTTGCAACAAGAACATCTAGAAGCTTAAGCTATTCTATATTGACAGCATTAACTTCAGACCACTTTGTCAAGATAAACATAACATTAGAGAATCTACTACGCTCTGCTCTGCTTAGTTCTACTTCAAACTGTGTAACAAGTGCCTTCCAGTCATCTAATGTAGATTCTCCATCACGCAACCTTAAGAGGAGATCTCTGAAGTCTTGTTATTCTTTACTACTTTCAGATTAACGCTGAATAACATCAAGTTTGTATGCTTCTTTAAATTGCTTGTACGCTGCATGACCATTATTAGACATCGGATCTTGTGAATTTTCTGCATATATGGAAAGATCAAGTACAGGCAGAAGTTGGCTGAAATCACCAAATAAAATAATCGATCTACCTCCAAAAGGCTCATTATTATGTTCAGAAAATGCCTGTCATAATCTCATGTCGATTAGACTAAGCATTTGGCATCTAACCATGCTTTTTTCATCAATTACTATATAGATCATATCTTATAATTTCTTTTGTAGCTGCTTCAATCATTCACCACTTATGTCAAGATTTTTATTAACGATTATTAGAATGGAAAGTGCTGAATGGATCATAACCCGTTGATGTTGAAAGTTGTAACATCTGTTAGTGTAAGAATAAATACAGGTAACTTAGATTCAGTTCCTTTCATCTCGTGAAGCCTACCTCAGATTGTATTAATAAGGTAAGTTTTTCCAGTTCTTGCAGTCCCCATTATGATAATTCTTAGTGGTTCAACTTGATGGCCTTTGAGTATATTGTTGTAATAAAATTCTATTCGCTTAAAAACTATCTTTTGTTTTTCATTTAGTGTTTGATAGTTCATAGTGTCAATCACTTTTTCCTTAGTGTTACACCTTTGCTCATCAGAAGCTCTGATCACAAATGTATCAGCATCCATTAAGTCTATATTAGAGTATTGTTTCCTGCAATCACTGATCCAATTATAGTTTCGATCTATATCACGAGATTTTAGGTCAGAAAAACTTTTAATGGCTGCGTTTAGACCCATTTCTGTTAGAATTATCCAATTAGGTCGACATTCGTCTTGTTCGTCATCCTCAAGTAGTTTATCATCCTCTTCATCAATTATTTCGTTTTCTTCATTATCTATAGGAGATCCAAGTAGATCTATTAGGTTAGAATTGATCTCTTTGAGATAACTTTCATATAAAGTTGACCATGTAATAGTTCCTTCTTCAGTTAATTGTTAGAGATCCCAGTGGCGAACATGAAGAAAAACTTTTATACGACAAAATTCTTCCCATTGAGGATCTTCACATAAGGGTGATAGATGTGAAAGATACGCATGACATTTCTTGATTACATTTTTTCCAATGATTTTTAGCAAATTTGTATTTTAAATGAAGCTGAAATAATGTAAGATTCTCAAGTTCTGTAAGTCATTCCTAATAACTTTCTAAAGGTGACTTTCAGTCTGCCTAGAATCTACTATAGTAAAGCCTCTGCTTTTTCCAGTACTGCAAATCCATCTTGGTATTTCTTTGTTGAGATTCAAGAAGACAAATCCCCTACTTGAATGATACAATGGAATACTAAGAAGAAGATGACAAGTTTTCTAAGCAGAAATGTCACGTTCTGCCACACTGTGGAGTAGTAACTTCTGGACTGAGGTAAGTATTGGGTCATCAGGTTCGCTGCTTCTAAGAATTTGATTCAGTATCTCTGAGAAGGCAGAAGATCGCAGTTCTGCTTTGCTTGTATATTTCAAAATATACTGCAAAGCTGCGTGTATACTTAGGATCAGCTTTAGATTAACATTTGCATGCTAACCTTACAATTGAAGTCTGCTGTATGTATTGATACTTGGATCATTTCTTTTAGTTACACAATTAAGATAAGTTAAATAATTTTCTGTAACTGCTAATTTTTTTCTTATTCTATAGCATACTGAATTTCCATTTTTATTTTTTCACAAGTTTCATATATGTCAGATTTGGGAGATATAAATTGAAGTGATGGCATTAAGGATTTCCAAATATTAATAAAAGTTGATCAAGTTATAATACAAGTTCAGGCTGGCCGTGGCTATCTTTGCACATAAATGTATTTTTAATACTTTCTTTAGGGTACTAAAATCTGCAGGATTGTTGTCTATCTTTAACGTGAAGACAGTATAAAGGGCTGCACTACATGTATCACTGTAGCTTATTGATTAAATCAATATAATCTTGCTGGTCATAGCATTGTTGGTCACTACATTTTTTACATGAGTGCCTGTCAAGAACTGGAGAATCTAATCTTGAATTTATCATAGTAACTAATGTGTCCAGGTATTTAATTACTTCGTTCATTTTATTTTCATCTTTTTTCATTTTATCCCATTTTATTTCAGGTGCATCTTGTCTTTTTCCAATTTTATGCACATGAACGCTTCCATGGTACTGCCATTTGAACCTATATCACCAGTTTTCTAAATCCCATTGCCGTTTTAAAACATCATTAAAAAAAATTTCAAAGCGCTTGTTGAAAAACCAAACTGCAATATAAGGATTATTAACGATGTTTTGTAATTGCATCTAGACGCTGTCTTTCCTTCTGTAGAATTTTTATCAGATGGCATGAGACTATGAAGTTCAGGCCAATGCAAATCAGCTACACTGAATGTAAAGAACACTAAGCCTTGTAAACCTATTTGTTTGATCATGTCAGATAGTTCTTAACGCTGTGCATTCCAAAATTGCCGAGAACTGCGTAAACCTTTACCAAATCGCATGATTCTATCGGCAATATGGCTATCACCTTGGACAATCCTTTCTTGAATATCCAAAACAGTGATTTGTGCATCAGTGAGATTTTGTTTAACAAATACTTTACCTTCTTATAGTGCCTTCCAACACATTTGAGAATTTAAGGCAAAATATCTCCAACAAGCATGACGTGCAAATTTTCCATCTCTGTATAGAAGAAGGTATTTAAAATACTCAGCGGGTTTCACATCCCTAATATGTTTTGCATGAAGATATATGCAACTATTCAGATATAAGGTTGGAAATGCGCTGCAATATATCCTTGAGTTTGAAATTCATTAATGGGAAAATTACTTATTTGTGACCATTCTATAATAGGACTGTCTTACTTCTGCATATAGTTAAGGGTATTTCGTATGATAACTTCTTCTCAATGAGTTGAAGGAAGTAATGCAATGAAGATACGTGTAATTACATCATCTTTCTCATTATTATCCAAATCTTCAACTATCTGAGTCTCTTGAAGCCAGTCATCAATGAAGTCATTAACAGGTAAGGATTGTAGAACTTCATTATCAATGGTAATGTCATTGTAGTAACAATTGTTCTCCTTCAATCAATGTAATGCATGAGCAATCTTAGCATGATGAACTTTAAAATCCCTGAATTCTGAATTACTTGTTGATTGGCAGCGTATAATAAGTACATCTAATAACAATGGATTCTGAGGCAAGTGAGTTGCGAATTCTTTTACATCTTGAAGAAAGTTTATTACATTTCCTCAATACCCAAGTTGTTCTCCATAGAGTCTATAACAGATATTACAGGAAATACTCACGCAATTAACATCTCTTCTATTTCTATAAATTCCTGCAACTCTTTAAGTACTTCACTTGGATCTATGTGATTCTCTTTTGAGAATTTTTTTGGTAATGTTTTTTTAGAATAATAATGATGACATTTCCCTTTTACAAGTACTATCAATGGAAAACTCTCATTACATACGGAGCAAAGTGAATGTTTGAATTTATCTACTTTAGCACAAAATTTTCATAAAAGACCTATTTCAAATTTATTTAACTCAGTAGCATGAGATGTATTTTCATCGCTCTGACCTTAATTAGGTCGATTCTGCTGGGCTCTGTTCTGCTGCATTTTCATATGATCCTGCTGTAGCTGTTGTCTTATGGCTTAATCCTACTGCAGTCTCATGTGGTCTATCTGCGGCTGTTGTTGTCTTATGGTTTAATTTTGCTGCGGCTTTTGCTATAGCTGTTTTAGCCTCAAGATTCAATTCAATTTTCTACAGCTGTTAGTTTCAGTTTCTAATCTTTAGCATTTTCTTTTGCGATCATGTACCTGACGCGCATCTCTTTGTTTAGTAGTTTCTGTTACTTTTTTGGTAGTATCTCTCACACTGTTTGGCAAAGTATGCTTCATGATCTCTAAGTGTTTCATTTTCTCTAGATTTATGCTTTTGTATAGTGTTGCGATTAACATTTTCATCTATTTTACTAATTAATGGGCAAGTATTAATAAAAAAGTTAGCATTTCACATATTTTCGCATTCTCACATTCTCAATATTATATGGCTTTATATGGCTTGTTGCTTATTATACTTGTTACATGTGACGTGTTGATCATTGAATAATGCATTAACGGTATTACAATAATTTTATTACTCAATCGCAATATATATAATACAACTTAACTTTCGCAAATATTGTACACAAAAAAAAAAATTTATTATATTTTATTAACTGTATATAATACAAATATACAAATATATTTTATTACTGAAGATCGCTGTAGACTTAAAATGGTTTCCATTTCCTAGTAATATAATAATTATATAAAAAATATATTAATATGTTTTTTATTAATTTAATAGAATAATTTTAAGATTTTAAAAGTTTTTAAAGTTTTTAATTTAAAATTAAGTTTAAAATTTATTTTAATATTATTATATAAAGAAGATATAGATGATGATGATTAAAAGGATGATATTAATTACTAAAAAATCCTATATTTCTTATATATCTTCTATATCATTTATGATATATATTTATTTCTTTTATTTTATATATTTTATCTATTTATTTTATTTCATTTATACTATATATTTATTTTATTATATTTATCTTATATATTATATTTATTTCTTTTATTCCTTCAATAACTTTATGTATTTTATTTTATATAAATAGAAGACATTTTCTTTTAACTTACTAGTGTATATTGTATATAGTATATCTAATAAGTAGTTTTATTAAATAGTTTACTTTAATCTCTTTAATATCTCAATAAAATATTTGATATAAAAATTTCATAAAAATATAAAGTTTTATAACATATAATTTTTATGAAATTTCAGTATAATGTATACGTTTTTTTCTTAAGTAAAAACCTTAAACTTAATATAAAAAAGTGGGAAAAAATATATACAAAAATCATGGATAAAACGGATATCTTATAATGCTTTAACGGATGCAAAAAACCATAAACTTAATATGGAAAAGTAGGAAAAAATGTATATAAAAAATAAGGAAAAAACGTATATCTTATAATACTTTAATAGATGCAAAAATTAAGGATAAAACAGATATTTTATAATGCTTTAACGAATGCAAAATCATAGATAAAACATATATTTTTATATGTTTTAAATTAAGCAATTTAGATTTTATTAATATAATAAAAATTTAAAAATTAAAAAAAAAAATAGAAATTAAAAAAATTAAAAAATCAATATTTTTTAAATTTTTTCCTTTTTGCATTCCTTGTTCTTTTCTGTAATATTTCTTTTAATATAAATTAATTAAAATAAATATAAAAAAATGAGTATTATAAATTTGTAAAAAAAAAAAAAAAGATAAATTTCTTACTGTTTTTATTTTCTTAATTGAATCTTCATTTTCTTTTTTTTTAATATTTGTTAATATAAAGTTAATATAGAAATTATCATTTATATAATGAATTAATAAGAATTTCATTTTACCTAGATTTTTATCATAAGATAAATTAAATTTTACGTTGGGATTGAAGGTAATGCTAAAAGTGATGCTAGTTTCATTAGCTTTATCATTGGTATTGGCTTCACTTTCATTTTCTTTTTTGTTTTAATATTAATTAAATTTATGAATTTTTATTATTATGTATTAAAAATAAAAATTTAAAAGTTATCTAAATAATCCCTTGAAAGCCTTGCTTTCTTACTAACATTAGAGGTGACACTGGCTTTGATATTAGCTTTGGTTTTAACATTAGCTTTGGCTTTAACATTAGCATTAGCGTTAGTGCTTACATTAATGTTGGCATTGGTACTAGCATTGGCATTGGCATTAGCACTAGCACTGGCATTAGTATTGGTACTAGTATTAGCATTAGTATTGGCATTGGTTCTGACATTAGAGCTAGAGCTGGTATTGGTGCTGACATTGGTACTGGCATTGGCATTGACATTAGTTTTGATGATGGTGGCATTGGCATTGGCATTAGCTGTATTTTCTTTTTTAATAAATAAATAAAATTTAGATATTATATTTAGATTCTAATTTGAATTTTAGAAAAATAAAATCTTTGGTACCTAATGCTTCATCTACTTTTTTTTGAAATCTCTTATCTTTGCGAAAGTTATAATCATGTTTATGTTGCAGATATTTTTTTACACATTCTTTTATTAGCCAACTACCTTCCCCTACTTGTATATTTTTATTTCTTTTTTTAAATTATTAAAAAAATTCAAAATAATAATTAATATTTTTTAATTATTAAATAATTATATATGATATACCTTTTCAATA